TTATAAAATAAACTGTTTAACTTAGATCCTTCGCCGAAGCAAACTTATCGATTAGCAGACATTGTATTATTGAACGTCTTCGTGATTGTAAACTTAATATTTTATGGTTTTTCCCCGCGGCTGAATATAGGAATCAAGTGCCTAAATTGTTTTTTGCTATTCAATGTATCAGTTTTATGTCGTGGACAACGCTGAAAATACTTTTCTTTGTTGTAGTTATTGTAGTCGACTTTTTTTTCTCACGGCAGCCATATAGAATATCAGTTTTGCAATATTTCTTCTGTAGTTTAGCTCCAATTATTTCTAATTTGATACATTTATAGTTTATTTATGCAAACATATTTGATCATTTTTCTTCGTTTCTGCAATATAATTTTTACGATTCCTGTCTGGTTTTATTCAGGTAGTTGAATTTTCAGGTGGTTTGGATTTAAAAGCACAAGAAGCAGCTTTACGTTTAGGACCTGACATTGTTATTGCCACTCCCGGCAGATTGATAGATCATCTGCATAATGCGCCAAATTTTTCGTTACATAATGTTGAGGTCAAATTTCATAGACAATTTTTTCAAAAGTTTCTAATTTACAATTATAATATCAGTATTAGGTATCAGTTGGTTTGATTCTCATAAGAAATTCTGTTCTTTTACTTCTTAAATTCACATTATTTTTTCAGGTACTGGTCCTGGATGAAGCTGATCGGATGCTTGAAGAAGCTTTTGCCGATCAGATGAAGGAACTTATTAGGCTTTGTGCAAAAAACCGTCAAACTATGTTGTTCTCTGCAACAATGACTGATCAAGTAGACACTCTTAGTGCAATTTTTCGTGATTTTTTTACTGGAGTTATAATTTTATAATTTGAAATTTTTTGAATTTTTTTGTAAGTTGTACATGACTTTCAGGTAGAAGATCTGGCTGCAATGTCATTGAAAGAACCAGTTAAAATATTTATTAATGAGAACACAGAAACGGCATTAAACTTGCGGCAGGAATTTATACGTGTTCGTGAAAAGTATGAAAATAGCCGAGAAGTCATAGTAGCTGGTATATTCAGTTTTTTTTCTGATTTTAAAAGAAATTTAAGCTAAAATGGCCAATTCCTCTGAACATAGTTGGTACTCAGTTTATCGCACTTTGTTGGTCGGATAATTACCGCTTGACCTCTCTAGCATTGGTAACGCGGACATTTTGTGATCATACCATCGTGTTTTTACGCACGAAAAGGGACTGTCAGCGCATGCACATCATCCTCGGCTTACTAGGCGTCAAGGTACTTGAATTTTAATTTTTCGCTTTCGTGTTATGCACTCGAAACAGTATAAACAGAGAACAGAACTTTTGTGAGCTTCAAATCAGTTTTCAAAATGAATTTTTGGTTCTTTAAAGAAAGCTGCAGAAAATTGTACCATAAACAATGGTAGCACAATGATCAAGAAAGATGTATATGGCTCCTTATTTCTTATGCGTGCCACTTCTTAAAAAGTTGAAGATGGGTCTTGTTCTCTGCATTTCTTTTCTGTTCAACATCACGTTCTTTTGTAACCGAATTGTGAAACGTAGGTTGCGTTTCAAAAAATTGTAATGAAATTCTGCTTCTGCTCTTGTTTTCCCTTTCTACTGGAAATGACATTGCTTGCTAAGAGTCTTTATAACTTTTGAGTTAGAAACTGTAAATGCAGCGCTGTTACCATGTTTTGCTGGCAAAGATTCTGCAGCTCTTCGCCACATCATGGACAAGAACTGTAAAGAAATAAAATGTGCTTTTCAAGCTATTGATATTTACCAAGCCTTACTTAGCATAGAATATGCTGCATATATTGTTGCCGAGAAAACAGCGGTGAGCAGAAACATTAAATGTTTAAAAAAGATTTTGTCTAACTTTTTTTATTCATACTGGAAAGTGATAAATGACGCACCCTACATTATACTCATACGGTTATTATTAGGGTAATGCCAAAAAATTATTTTTTGTACATGAAAAGATTTTGTTCAATTATTTTTAACCCTGTTGCATGCAACTCAAAAAAGCGGATTTGGTGACTTTGGTGTTAATTATTTTCTGTTAAGCGAAAAGGTCGTAATCCAAAAATTACATAGAGCTACTATAGTTTCCACATGTTTATCAAGTAAGGCATAATTGGAACTGATTTTATTGCAACTGCTTTTGAAAATAATTGAGGTAATAAGTTATCAAAACATGAAAATATACTGTACGTATAGTATGTTCGTTTATTTCTTTTATTTATCTTTATGTATATTTATAAGCATGAAAGTCATCCTATTTAGGTCGGTCAGCTGCACAGTAGTCTTTCGCAAGCTCAACGAGTCGAAGCTTTGTCGATGTTTAAAAATGGTGATTTGGATGTCTTAGTTTCAACTGACCTTGCTGCTCGTGGTCTTGATGTGGAAGGAGTTCTTACTGTATTCTTTGATTGTTGTCTCTTAAACTGTTGTTAGATTTTCGACTTTTTAAATTGTTTGAGGTTATCAATATGCACATGCCGGGAACGTACAAGCAGTATGTCCACAGGGTCGGGAGAACTGCTCGTGCTCATAGAGCAGGTCGTTCTATCTCTTTAATTGGTGAAGATGATAGAAAACTTTTGAGGGAAATTGTGTCTTCAAATAGAGGAAAATCGCTCAAGCAAAGGCTTATTGGCTCAGGTGTAAATACCAGTCATTTCTTCTCTCTGTGTCTCAGCAGAAATTTTCTACTCATATGAATGAAGAGTTTACTGTTTTGTTTAAGATGTTTTGGATGCTTACACCAAACGGTTGGGGTCGCTTTCGGAAAGCATTAAAAAAATTGAAGAGGAGGAAAAAGTTGAGCGGGCAGTGCGGATGGCTGAAGCTGAAATACAAAGAGGCGAAGAAAAGATAAGTGGGGAAGCCAAACCAAGGAAATGGTTCCAAGCAGAAAGTGAAAAAGTTAGAAAAGGTCGATTTCGAAAAAGAAGTTTTTTGACCTGTGTATGCAGAAGTTTTTTAATGAAAAAACTTCTTCCAGTTTAGGAGCGAAGAACTTAAATGTTAAGAAGAAGGACAAGGGGAAGGCGAGAAATTCAAAGGAAAACGAGGTTTCAGTAAGTTTCTTATAAGTTTTTTCGAAATCACAGTAGAATTATGAGTGGCATTAGTCTACCGTAGAAAAATTTGTCAACGCATTTTTGATTGCTTCAGTCAAGATCATTTTTTTGATGCTGTACTGTTGCTGGAAGTAATCAGAAGTTTTTTTTCTTTTTATGAAACGGTACTGTTATGGCTAATAGTGAAAGAGAATTTTTTAGGCAGAGGATATTCGATTGAAGCGCCAAGCAGATTATTATGCACGAGAAGCTAAGCGTATGCGTAAATCAAAGAAGATTCGTGCAATATATGAAAATTATGATGAATACAAAGAGTTGAAACCAGGAAAAAAGAAGCGCAAGAGCTCATTCACAAGTCATCTTACTTCTTTAAGGCGCGAAGCAGTGCAAGGATTCCGCCATGGGTTTATTTTTCACTTTGTTTTTTTTAGGACAAAGATTCTTTAACAAGTAATAGATGACGTTTTAGAAATTGTTAATTACGATGTAGTGGGCAGAATAAATCCACTTTTGATTTCAGTTTCTCAATTTTTTAATTGCAGGCCTTCGGATCCGGAGTTTAGAGCTGCGAAGTTGAAAAAGTTGAAGCGTCGAAAATAGAGATGATTTGTGTTTGCAAAAAAAATCATATTGTTCTTTTTGAAATTGCTTTATCTGATTTGAATTATTTGAAAGATCCTTAATATGAATAATTTTTTTGCCTAGGTATTAATGTTTTAATGCCACGTTCTTTGTCGTTGACGGGCACTGATATAGCAAAAAATCAAAGCATTCTTGTGGTGTTGTTGTGCTGAGTGAACGAAAGTGTTAGAGAGGGGGAAATCATTTGTAGTGGAACTGAATTCTGCTATATAAGGGATTTTCTGGTCTCAAGATCTGTCTTTGTTTAACAAATAGTTGGTAAAAAGTACCTGTTTTTTTTTAACGCAACTTATTTGTCTGTTAAATGCGGAAATAAACTGTCGAGATTTTGTTATAAAGTTTTTAACAGTAGTTGTCATGCAACAGGTTTGAAACTGACTTTGAAAGAATGTCCAAGTTTGTTCGAAGAGTAACAGTCGTTTCCGCAAGGTGTGTGTGTCAATCTTTGTGTCAGATATTTGAAATTGGATGAGTGGCCATCGCATTACAGTATAATTAGGGAAACAACGTGTTGGAGTTATTGCATTTTTCTTGTATTACTCGTACTAATTTTAGTATTTTTCGGCGTTTGTTTTTGGGATGTGGGGGAAAATTGCTTGGTAGTATAGGCGTCGAATGCAGCCGTGTAGCAACATATTTAGATTCACTTAGGTCGTCTGTTTGCTGTAGATTTTCAACCGTGCGAATGATAGTGGACATTCTGCAGAACTCTTGAGATTTTTTTTACTTAGTGGTTCTTAAAAGACTTAAACAGTTTCGAGTCCGTTGCACAGAAAGTCTCTTATTTTTGGTCTAAAGGTGGTATTTTCTGAGAGTGACATAATTTTGTACTCTCCATTGTCGGTAACATGACTGTGTCTTTCTGACTTGGATCCGATGCATTGAAAGTGTTTTCTTACATTTAGAGCTCTTTATGAAGATAATTTTGAAAAAGAAAATTATTGCTACTTTAGTGGTCTAAAACGAATACGCCAAAATTTTGGTGGTTTTCAAAATAATGTGTATGGGAATTCCCTTTACCGAACAACAATACACAATTATGAAGGGTTTACATTTTGGTAGAATTAGGTATATCTCAGGGAGTGGCACTGATTTTTACTTTTTATAGGCAGATTACAGGCGCATGAACTTCTAAGTATTACAAAAGATAAAAAGCTGAAGTTTCACAGTCTTATACAAGTATTTTCAAAGTAAAGCGCCAAAGAAGAAAAAAAATTATTTTAAAATACTTGTCACTATGTGACAAATGGCAGAGGTAATTAGAAAGGAGGGCAAAAGTTCAAACGCTCACCTTAGTAAGATATGTTGGTAAAGTTATGAACCTGTTTTTTGAAGCAGTCAAAAACTGGCAAATTCTTTTTTCAGAAAAAATAGGACAACAATTGACAATATCGTTTGAGTACTGCAAAAAAACTTAGAATTTCAGCTGGAGGGTAATTAAGTTTTATTGTTTTTTTTGTCACCAAACCAGTGATTTAAGGTGAAATTGTAGATGTGGTTTAATGGATTAAAATACGTGATCCTTTTCTGACTTTGTTGCATTTTCTGTTTTTTGAAACACCAAGTTGAATGAACAGGTTCTCTATAGAGTCACCGTTTCACTATAGGGCGAGATGGTAAATCAGGCATTTTTAGTCAGGTAAAAAATCACTGTAGTGGGGGTCAGTGGTCGAAAATGTTAGGGGGTCAACAGAGCAGTATTTTGTGAAGTAATCTACGCGATTGTACTTTGTTTGTTGTTTGTAAACCAGACTGAAAATTGTTCGAAGCAAAAAATCTTTGAGGCAACGGATTCAAATTTGTATCAGCTGTTGAAATGCTTCAGAGTTTAATCATCGTGCAGGTCGGTGCTTACTTTACCAAAGTATTACCGGTTTGTTGCCTAGTATGTGGTCTGTCAAAAATAGTCATTTTCATGTGTTGCACAAATTTAGTTTCACCCAATCTGGATGGCTGTTAGAAATGTTTCATTTTCTGTGAGTTAGGGCCTGGAAGGGAAATGCTGGAGTTCAGGAAAAAAGTCGTTCGAGGAAATTAATTCGGAAGTAAAAAAGTCACTGAAATGGTGTCATGGATTAAAGGATACTCTTTTTTAGTGGACATCAGTCTTCGTTTTATCTCATGATGATCCCGGACTTCTGTCCTTTAAAGCTCTCGACATTTTATACTGAGTTAGTTAAAGCAGCGCTGCGTTCAAGTTGCAAACGTGCATGAGAATTAAATTTATTTTCAAACGGTTCCAAAAATTCTTTGTGTTTGACGTTTCATCTCCTCGTGCACTTTAAATATTTTGCTAGTTTTCCCAGGAAATAACCGTGGGCCGGCATTTGTCCTGTTGAGAGCCTTAGGAAATATAAATTTTATAACTTCATTTACAGTTTCTTTTTTTGTATCATAAAACTTTGCTCTTCCAACCTCTGTTCTAAATTGATAGTGAAACCTGTACACAATTACTTGGCACGTATTTGTATTGCTCTGTTGTAGCTATTTTTGTTTTGATCCAGGCCCAGTGCATTCAAGTTGAAATCACAAAATCTGCTTTTCAAGTTGCGGTCAGTGCTGCGGCGGTTTCGAAGGTCTAAGATGGGGCCGATAGATAAGGATTTCATTTTTTTCATAGTAACGCTTAGGTGCATTTTGCTCACTCATACAAGCGTGCATTTCGCCAACACATATTATATATTATATATTATATATTATATATTATAT